ATAGAACAGAATATACGTATTGTAAAGACTACAGTTTTAGTGGATGTGGTGGCACATTCCTGTAATCCCAGCACTCTGGAAAACTGAGGCAAGAGAATCATAAATTCGACCCTAGCCCAGGCAACTTAGGGAGACAGTGTTTAAAAATTAAAAATAAAAAAGGGGGCTGGGGATGTAACTGAGTGTAAAGCCCCTGGGTTCAATGCCCAGGATAAGAAAAAAAGGAAAGACTAAAATTTTATCTCCAATTAACCCTTCTTCTTGGAAATCACATGTGGGTCACTCATAGCATATATAAGGTATAGTAGAAGTTAAACATCAAAGAGCAGTGAAGTTTTACATTTAAAGAATATCTGGCATCACCCATTTAAAGATTATCTGCCAGGTAAGAATCAGGCAATGGATCTGTTCCAGCAACACACAAGTATTCTAAAGTAATTCCCTTGCTTCTTGTTTTTTTCCAAATTAGGCCCATGTATATCTACAGGGCACAGCAATAAAATTATTGAGCTTAGAGCTTCTAGAAACTTTCTTTAATTATTAGCAAAGTCCTTCATGGGTGGCTTTTATAGTAATTTTAATGAAAGAATATGGAAATTTCTCATATGATGATGTGCTTGAGTAAGTCTGCCAAGATGTAAAGATGAATAATTTTACCTGAAACAGATCGAGATAGGGAACTGAAGCCAAGCTTTGGACCAGGTTTTGCTCAAGTAAAGCTGAGATGACAACTCTGAAGAACTGGCAGGACAAGGAGAGTCAGATACTGCAGGACAAGTATAAGGATAACTAGGGATTGTATTGGGCAGTTGCTGAGTCCTGGATGTCCACTTTCCTTTCAGGGAAATTCCAGGAGATAGAGTTCATCTTACCCAGCCCTTTCAGCTCAGAAACAACAAAACCAAGCTATGAATTATCTGGCAAGGGTGGATCTTGCACCTACACCTTCTAATTCAGAGAAGCTATGGTCTTTCCACTCCATGACTTTGCATCTCAAATCAGTCAAGTGATGTTTCTTATTTCTTTTTTTTTTTGATAACGGGGATTGGGGATCGAACTCAGGACCTCACACTTGCCAGCCAGACACTGTCCCACTGAGCTATTGCCCCAGCCCAAGTGATGTTCTTTTTTTTTTTTCCTCATACCAGGAATCAAACTCAGGACCTTGGGCCAGGGATTTAGTTCAGTGGTTCTGGCACCTGCCTCGCAAGCGCAAGGTCCGAGTTTGATCGCCGGTACCAAAAAAAAAAAGAAGCAAACTCAGGACCTTGTGCTTGTGAGGCAGGTGTGGTGCTGCCGAGCTAAATCCCCAACCTAACCAAGTGATGTTTCTTTCTTTCTTTTTTTTGTTTTAAGAGTAGAAAAAATTTATTGAGAGAGAGAGCTCCTGAGAAACAGGAGGGGACCTGAAAGTGGGTTGCCCACAAGTGATGTTTCTTTTTTTTTTTTTTTTTTTTTTTGGTACCAGGGATCAAACTCGGGACCTTGTGCTTGCAAGGCAAGCAGTGAAACCACTGAGCTAAATCCCCGGTCCTCAAGTGATATTTCTTGATGAAAGCCAGCAAAGGAGAACTGAGAATGGGACAGAACTTCCAAGGTAGTTCTTCTCAAAGTCTGAGGACTATTTAATATATTAAAGATTGTTGGGGCTGTGACTGTAGCTCAGTGGTAGAGTACTTGGTTAGCAAACACAAGGTCTGGGTTTGCTCCCCAGCATCACAAAAAAATACAGAAAACAAACCAAGACAACAACAACACAAGCAATTTATAAAGGAAGAAATGCAAACTGCCAATATACAGTATATTATTTCCAATTCTCAGAAAGAATCAAAGAAATGCAAGATTAAAGCAAGATGTGTGGAGAAGGGCCAGTGAAGGGACATTGTAATGTACTGCTGGTGACAGTTTAAGTTTAAATCACTGGAGAGAGTTAAATTGCTGGTGAGAGTTTAAAAGAAGGCAATTTGATGTTAGGTAATTATGCATGCTCTTTGACCTTGTATGTCTAGAAGTTTATTCTAAGGAAACAGAGAAGCCTAAAGGCCAAAGTAGGTGCTGCAATTACAGCGGAAAGAGGTTAGCAGTTCTGTTGTATCACCACCAGGGAGCAATTTCTCTTAACTTCCTGAATTGTGGCTCATGAAAAATGTTAAAGATAACAATTGTTTTTGGTATGTTCGCAGTAAAAGCAAAGAAAACATATAAATACACTCAGGGAATGGAATGTTAATGTACACTAGGAACAAAACCCCTTGAGCCCCTAAACTTTAATATTTCTCTTATCTTCTCAGAAAAAGAGGAACAAAAATACACTTAAAGAAACTGAACTTTGAAAACAAAATAGGTCTGTGAGAAAACTTCTAAATAAAGGGATCTGGATATATTCAAGTTTCCAGATATCCTAGCCTTAGTTTCCCACCAATCAAGAGCTCAGGACAACAGCCAGAGCTTGATGTATACTTTAAAGCTTGATGTGGACCTCAGGAAATAGGAGCAAGACACAGAAAGCAGGAAGCAGGGGAAAAGGGAGGCTTTGACTTGGCTCCAATTACAGGCACTGGCTGGGTGATCCCATGAGACTGTCTAAAAAGCTGTATGAAAAGCATTGTAGACCTATCCACCTGTCCAAGAAGAGAAAGGGGTCATATTTCTTTCTAAAGAGGGTTTGCTTTCCAGTATTTCAGGGTTGAGCAGGCTTGGGTACCCAAGACTGAAGAATGGCAGAGAAACCTTGAGAAAGGAACCAAGAGTACAGAGTGGGCTTGAAGTGAAGGCTTTCAGATGGAACCAGCATCTGCGTGGTAGGCTGCACAGCCATGGTGGGAAGGAAGCATCTAGGAAGGGTGTCAGGGAATCAAGATTCCAGGTTAGGGCTCTAAGAGAACAAAATCAGTGCTCATTAACTGATCAGGACTGAATACATACTGTACCAAACACAGACCTAAGCTTTAGAGACAAACATGAATACAAGTCATGGTCTCTTCCCTCAGGAAGCATAGGCTGAGTGGGGATGAGCTTTGGGTTCCTGTGGCACTAGAAGGAATTTGCCAGAGAAATGGCAGAGGGGCAGGGGAGGAGGTTCGGAATTCCAGGTTGAGGTGGCAGTGTGGCTGTTTGGTGCCATGACTACTGGCCCATGGTTGTTAATAACATATGAAGCACCTTGTGGAGATGAAGGCTCTGAAGAGCACTAAGGAGAAAGAGGTTAATATTTTGGAAGCCATGAAACATGGCAGAGGAAGTAGATTCTTTTAGTTTGATACCTAGAGCCTGACCAGCCCTTCCCAGGGCTACATTTAGCAAATAGTGTTAATCCCGCTGGAAAATGCCCCAAACTCCCAGCCCCGCCCTAGACCTCAGTGTTCAGTAAACAAGCTGGCCTCCCAGACTGTGAGAGTTCATAAAAATAACGTTTGTTTTCCTACTGGCAGAATATCCTCAAACTCTGACCTTTCCTACACATTCTAATGACTCATTCTGGCCAGCACTCTACAGCCAGTGAGGAAAATGATAGAAATGCTCTGGAAAAACCTTCTGTGGGGAGCTAAGATCCTCAGTCACTAGGCATAGGCAAGGAAAGCCCCCTTCCCTCCTTTCCCTACCCAAGCAAGCCCACGTCCCAGGCTTCCCTCTCCAGCTCAAGCCTTGCACACAGAGGCAGAGGACGTGATCTGCACAGCTGGAACTCAACCAGGGTTGGGTAATTGCTTATCTCTCTGAAAACCAAGTCCCACTTTTGCACACCGTACTCTGAACTTTAGTACAGACTGGAGGCGGCTCACACACCCTTATTTGGTCTGAGGCTTGTGCAGCCCCAGCAGGAAGGCTCAGCCACCCCTCCTCCACCCACCTCTGGCACATTTCTAAACTTGATTACTTCCTTTGTAATCCAGAGCAGGCAAAGGTCATTAGGTTCAGTGTAACGTGAAGGCAGGCTGAGAGCACAGGAGGCTACCTGGTGCCCTGGGATTGTCTCCTTCCGTACAAGGGGGCATTCTGGGAGGCAGTGACTGTCTTGAGTGTGGAGGTCAAACAGGAGCAAGGCTGCTGGAATACACTGGAAACCAGGAGCGTACAAAGGAATTGGACCTAAGCTTAAGGAAGACTGGAGAGAACATTCTAAAGTGGGACCCAGTGACTAACTTCTGGGGGTATATCTGCATCACAAAGGTCTAGTCCAAGACAAACACGGAGAAGTAGGGGAAGGAGCAGTGAGAGGGAGAAAGGAAAAGACAGAGAAAGAGGGCTGAAAAAAGAGGGATATATAAAAAAAAATCAATCTACTTTATGAAGTATCTGCTCTGATAAAGGGCCTCCTCCTCAGCAAGTTAAGGGACCCAGACAAAACTAATGTCTCAAGAGACCCTTGTTGGGTTGGGGATTTAGCTCAGTGGTTTCGATGCCTGCTGTGCAAACACGAGGACCTCAGTTCGATCCCCGGTACCAAAAAAAAACCAAAAACCCCCACAGGTTCAAGAGACCCTTGTCCACATCGGGCTTCAAGCTCTCAAAGTGAACTATAACATGGTTTTTCCTTTCTCATAGTGTGTAAAAAGGATTAAAAAATCATAAATATTAGGTACTATACTGAAATCAGTCACCTGTGATCATCTTTCTCAGAAAGATGCACTTCAGGAAGCAAGTGTGATTGTGTATGCCTGTAATCTCAGCACTCTGGAGGCTGAGGCAGAAGGATCACTGCAAGCCCAAGGCCAGCCTGGCCTACACAGTGAATTCAAGGCCAGTCTGAACTACATAGTGACATCTTAACTCAACAAAACGAGGCAAAACAAAAACGATAAATGTACTTCATATCATTGTAACAAAGTTTGTAAAATTCTTCTAAGAAATCTTGCTTGAAAAATTGCCAATTGTGAGATAGGGATAGAGCTCAGTGGTAGTGTGTACCCAGCACGAGGGAGGCCTTAAAGCCCCAGCCCTGAAAAAAACCTGCCAATTTGCTACTGAATGTGGTTGCTGAAAAGGATCAATTCACTGACCTTACTTCAAAGAGATGATTAAGAGTCAGATACCAGTATTCCAAGCCCCTCTTCCTCTTTCTCCTCACTTCCCATGAAGAGAGTGATAGCAGCAATGGGTTGACAGGTATTCTTTGATATATGAAAATGAGAAAAACAAGCCTTGGAGTCATCTTTGATGTCATTTTCTTCCTTGTTCCTACCATCTAATTAGCTGCAAAGTCTAGCAAAATTGTCTTTAGTGATAGCTGTTGGCTCTTTGCTCTTTTCCATTACCCTGGCAGCTACTTTTGAACAAAAGTATTTGTCAGTTTTCCACTTTCCCAGTTTATTCCTCAGACTGTCTCCAGGTTAACTTACTCTGGACTTGGATAGTGCCTTCACCCTACACATACTAGCACAGGCTACAGGCCCATGTCAGAAGACCTACTCGTCCTAATCCAGCCCAGTGCCTCCTCCTTCAGGAAATGAGACTTGTCTTTTTTTGGTGCTGGGATTGAACGGAGAGCATTGTGCATGCCAAACACTCCCCCTACCACTGAGATACTCACATGCCCCCAGACCCATGAAACTGTTTTTATCTGTATGATAATATCAATTTCCTTCTCTGAATCCCCATAACAATTTGGTTGACTTTTTCTTATAGCACTTAGCCATCTTGAATTTCATTATCTGAAATTTTCTGTGTCATTCTCCCATTTGCATCCCTTACACCATCTCGCACCATGCCTTTGAACTCAGTGGAACCTGAAACAAGCACCATTTCCACTTCAAGTTTCCCTGCACTTCTCTGGCTCTCTTAGGGATTCTAGTGGGTGCTTAGCAACCAGAATGTCTAGTGCTTATCATTGCTTGACTAGGAGCTCAAAGAGATTTTTGGGCCCTACTCTCTGGCTTTCTGTCTTGTTCCTTTGGTTTATGATAGTGTTTCAGGTGCTTGCCAAAACTGGAAATGGACCCCTTATCTGAGGAAACCCTAATTTAAAAAAAATAATAATAATGAGGCAGAAATTTTAGGTGTCACAGGATTTAGAGACGAATCAAAATATAAAGCTACTGCCCCTATTCTTCTCTGTTCAAAATAATGTAACACAGACATGTGCTTAGATTATTTTTCAATAGAGTTGGTATAGAATAAAGCTTCCCAAGAGGGGCAAAACAATGGAAACAAGATAAAAGAAGATTTGGGTAAAAGAATAGGCCAATTTGTGGCTATAGGAGTATATCAAGCAGAGAGCAAAAAGGTATTGGCTTCATTGGATTAACTGTTTCCACCTCAATAAGTGATGTGAAATTAATATTTGGTAAACAGACTGGTGCTGGGCATGTGGCAAGTGTCAAATGTCAGCTATTAAGTTAATCCTTGACAGATGGTAATCCAATGTGTATTGGGGGAGTGAAAAGAGACCTCACAAAGTGGTGGTCAGTCAATAATAGAGCCTCGGCTTAGTAGGCGCCTTAGTAGGTGCCTGCCTGTAATCCCATAATTCTGGAAGAATTATGAGGAAAGAGGACCCAATCTGGGCAACTAGCAATTTAGAGAAAACTTGTCTCAAAATTAAAAAATTAAACATAAAAAAGGGCTGGGGATATAGCTTCGTGTAAAGGCCCTGGGTTCAATCCCTACTTATGCCTCCCCCTAAGTGTCATGCGAATATGGCCAGAAGACCATGCTAGGTCTTCAATATTCTGCTAACATGCTAGACACAACAGGAACCCTTTAAAGGTTTTTGAAGGTTCAGTGTATTAGAAAGACATACACCATGTTGCTGCTGTTCAGGTTGGCCTGCCCTAGGGAAAGTCCATGGTTGAATGAGTGACCAGATGGACCAGGAATACACAGAAAATCCTTCCATCCACAAGTGGACCCTCGATAAGACTGTAAGCTCCACAGGGACAGAGATAGTTACCTGTCAGAATCTTCCTCAGCTCCCAGTATAATACGTGCTCAATAAAATATCTGCAGAAAGCCAGGGATTTAGCTCAGTGGTTCTGCCACCTGCCTTGCAAGCGCAAGGGCCTGAGTTGGAACCCTGGTACCAAAATATATATATATATATATCTGCAGAAAAAGAAAGATGTACATTCTGGGGCAAAATGGGAGAAAAGTCACCACAGAAGTCCATGTGAAGGGCCGGAGATTTAGCTCCGTGGTTCCGGCGCCTGCCTCGCAAGCGCAAGGTCCCGAGTTCGATCCCCGGTACAAAAAAAAAAAAGAAGTCCATGTGAGAGATGATAAAGGCCCGAATTAAGATGGCAGGAATAACATGATGACGATAAATATGAGAAATGACACTGAATAAGACTCTACCTCACTAGAGGACTAACTAGGGGAGGAAGGCTGAGCAAGAGGGCCTGAGGCACCTATCAGAACGACTGCATGGAGGGAACTAACATTGCTTTGAAGAGGGTTAGGGCAGAGCTTTGAAGATGTACAAAGAGCTAGCAAGAGGAGTAGCCAACAAAGGAAATCGGAATAAAGTAGTTGGGAGACTCCTCTCCCTGGCTCTGGATAGTACATAAATGTTTAATAGCATTGTCAGCACATCAAGGGCTACGCTGTGTGTGCTGGTGGCTGAGCATGATGAGCACACGGCCTGATAGTTTATACAAACAGCTCTCAGAAGCAATGTCCTGGTGTCTATCCAAGTTCAAGAGGAGGGGGCCAGGGATTTAGCTCAGTGGTTCTGCCACCTGCCCCGCAAGTGCAAGGACCTGAGTTCGATCCCTGGTACCAAAAAAAAAAAAAAAAGAGGAGGGAGATGCAGGATGTGTTCTCCTCCCTTGGAGGAATTCTAACAGCCCTGATGAGAGAAGTATAGAGGCTATGTTGAGTGTAATGGTTGGGCAAGTGCTTGAACTGTGAAGGATCCCTGAAGTAAGTGTTACTCAGAACCCATGACTGAGCTGGGGATGGTGGCACATGCCTGTAATTCCAGCACTCTGGGAGGCTGAGGCAAGAGGACTGAAAGTTTGAGCCCAGCTTGGGTAACTTAGTGACTTAGCAAAATCCTGTGTGAAGGCCTTGGATTCAGTCCCAGCATTACAAAAACCCCCTCCCCCAAATGCTGTGACTGAGCTGCAGAGAGATCCAAAGGTAACCTACACAGACCAGGAGGTAAACTATGAGATAAGGTATTAAGCTTGATCAGTGGATTCTGATTGAACTGAAATTCAACAGCATTAATAATAATTACCAATTCCTTAATAATTCAGTAAGAGCTTTTGTATCATTGGTGATTTAAAACTTTTTATAAACTGGGTGTGGTGACACAATGGCTGCAACCCAAGCTATTCAAGAGGCTGAGGAAGGAAGATCCAAGTTCAAGGCTAGCCTTGGTAACTTACAGAGACTCTATCTAAAAAAAGGGGCAGTGGTAGTAGGGATGGGTAGAGCACTTTCTTAGTATGTGAAAGGCCCTAGGCTCAAACTCTAGATATGGATACCAGCATCCAAGTCCTTCTAAAATTAATATTTCTTAGATATAGACAAAGAACTAAGCATTAAATATCATCTATCTATCTATGCCTGGTTCTGGGGATTGAACCTGGGGCCTTCCCATTAAGCTACTCTCCCAACCTTTTTTATTTTTTTCGTTGAGACAAGGTCTTGCTAAATTGCTGAGTTGCCCAGGCAGGACTCAAACTTGTGATCCTCCTGCCTAGGTCTTCCAGGGCTGGAATTTCAAGCATGTGCCACATGTCTGGCCATGTCCAGCTTAAGCATTAAATAGTGGAGCATAAAATATACCCATCTACCAGGGTAGGGACGTATAGGGCAAACATATTCCATAGAGTCCAAATCACTTCAAAATCATTCCCAATTAGATTGTTTCTATTTGATGTCTTTAACTGAAGGTATAAACAAAGAAACATTTGTAATGCTGGCCACAAGATAGTCTTTGTTGTTACAGTATTACAAAGATTGTACTTAGCCATGTAGATAGCAAATGCATATATATGTTCTCAAAGATGGGACAGTATTTATTAACAACTTGTAATATCAAGCAGTTGATGTTCTTCCAGAGCAACTAAAAAATACTTAAGACTTTTCTTAGGCAGTGTAGACTATCCCTACAATTAGCATTTAAACTGTCAAAATTTAGCTTGTAAAAATGAGTTAAAAAAAAACACAAAACCTATTTTTCTATAGCAATTTTTTTTTTTTTGTACCTGGGATGAAACTCAGGGCCTTGTGCTGGCAAGGCAGCCCATGGTGCCACTGAGCTAAATCCCCAGCCCTATACCAATATTTTCTAAGTGAGTATGTTCATGTGATTTGAGCATTTGGATTTGTGCATGTGAGACTATAAGAGTATTTTGAGCCGGGGATTTAGCTCAGTGGTTTTGCTGCCTGCTGTGCAAGCGCAAGGACCCAAGTTCGATCCCCGGTACCAAAAAAAAAAAAAAAAAGAGTATTTTGAAAGTATGAGTTCTTTTTCTTTTTCTTTTGAAAAACCAAAGAGTTGGGGCAAGGATGTACCTGTAGCTCAGTGGTAGAGTACATGCATGAAACCTGGCTTAGATCCCAAGCACAAAATATACCAAGAATGAACCTCAATGCAAAATGTGGACTTTGGGTAACAGTGGTCCCCAGTGATGACTTTGGGTGAATCGGTGTAGATTTATCAAGTGTAACAACAAATGTACTGGCTGAGGATGTTGATGATGTGTGAGTTGTGTGTGTGGGGGGGAGGAGCAGGACGAATATGGGACAAGTCTCTACTTTTTGCTCAATTTTGCTGTGAACCTAAAACTGCCCTAAAAAATGAGGTATATTTGCCAGCCGTCCTCAGGCAGCAGCTCTGGCCAGCACAGTGAGGCAGTGAGGGTGGCCCAGTCCAGGCTCTGTCTGGGCACAGTCTTGGTGGGTCTCAGGCATCTATAGGGCTGGCCTGCGGCCCCCGGGGCACTCTGAGCAGGAACATTTCTGCCGCTGCTCGGAGGAAACGGGGCAGCTACCTGTTCATTTATATCCTTTAAAATATACTTTGTAATAAACTGGTAAGCATGAGTATGTATTTCCTTCAGTTCTGTGAATGTCACTGACAGCCCCTGGTTGTTTTATCTGTGCTTCTGACTGGACAGCTATAAATTGGGGTTCTGATAATCCTCTCTTTAGGTTCCAAGTT